GTGTGTTGAGGATTAAGTAAGGACGAAACAGTGCGTGATGCAGAGACGAGAAGAAAAAGAAGAAGAAAAGAAAAAGAGAAAGTCTCTCGTAGACAAATTTTCATGTGCCAAAACGCGGAGAGCGAAGTAAAGCTCGTCCATCGGACGAGCCCTTGCAATTGGGCAGATTCACTATTTGGGAAATCGTGAAAGATCAAAATGTATTATTAACATCTTAGAATATGTACTTTTTTATCGCATAAAATAAAACGTAAAATGCAAATTTGTTAAGAAGAGATTATTACTTCAGCAAGCATTACAACTTACAATGCGCGTAATTACTTTTTCTATTCATTTTCTAATTTTTGTAAAACACAAAAATCAAATATATACTGTTACTCATTTGTTGCAATCTTTATATAAAAATTTATTTTTATTTTATAATGTTTAATTTTTCTTTTTATACAAATATATTTTACTTGCTTAAAATATATTTTAGTGCAACAATATATATACATATATATATGTGTGTGTGTGTGTGTGTGTGTGTGTGTGTGTGTGTGTGTGTGTGTGTGTATGTACAATATATATATATATATACGTAAAAATGCTTAGCAGTATTAGTCGACTATTAGATGTATAATGTTATTGATGTTGACTACATGGAATCTCAATTATATGTGCATACAATGTTTATACGACTGATTATAATATAGATATACATATTTGCATAAAAGTTTCTCTAATCGTTATTACAAAATTCATATCAGCAGGTAGATATCTTATAATACGATGATTCATTATTAATAATAAATATTTATCATCAACATCTGGAAAGATATCGATCTTATGTAAAAGTCTTGTTCTGTGAATTCCGAATTGTCTGAATTAATTTCGAAAATAAAACGAGATAATTGAGATATAATTCTCGTGGAGGTATCATAATATTTGAACGATAAAAATATTGATTTAGTATATTGATAACACTCGTGTGTAATCTACTCGATGAATCATACATCAGAATAGGAACGTACGTATACGTGTGTAATAATGATTATATCTCCGACGTATCTAATTAAAGATCTAATTATAATAATTACCAATTATATATTATACAGGGAATATCGGTCAATACACGCATATGCTATCATATATTTCTTGTCGCTTTCAATATGTGTTAATACATTAATTTACTTTTTATTATTAAATGTTAATATTCCTTTTATCAGTAAAATGATATAAAATCACTCATAAAAACGCTGAAATTGTGAACTAATTAATAAGAAATGAGTTATCTCATACGTTAGGTATACATTTCACTAGAAATGATACTACTCACTTTTTATTATAAAAGATAGCGAGGAAGATTATTTGAACATGTTGCGACGAGCTTGGTACTGATCGAAATGACTGCTTCATGTAACGTATCTTTCCTGAACAAGGTGGTACGACAACGATATATGATAAGCAGTGCGATAAGCGATTATTGCAAGTATTTAAACGCCGATCTCTCGTTATACCGCCAGACCTCGAGTAGCCTTCCTGCAGTGATAGCAACTTCACGGTTTTCGAGTGTGACATAAGCCAAGATGTCGGTGTCCAAGTACATAATCAGTCTGGCCGTTCTGGTCCTCGCTTTGTTAACCATCACCACTGTACCCGCTAATGGAGCTGTCGATTACTATGCTCCCCCCAATAGATCGCTGACCATCGGCTACAGGATGCCCGGCGACAGGCTCGTCTACAGAGAGAGCATCGTCAAGAATGCTGGATGGATGAAGATTCAGATTATTGAGAAGACCTTCAAAGTCTCGAAATACGAACGTCTCACTATGATTCAATCCTTGGACCAGAATAGGAATGGAACCGGCGCGAACGTCAATGTTCTGAAAGGTGGACCCGGATACAACAACGTCACCTTAAGATTCAAGAGTCAGAGGGGTTACAACATTAGCCACATCGTTCAACTGTATGCACGACCTTAATCAACCACAATGGAAGAAGCTACACCAACTAGTGTGACGATTTCTGGATGCAATTGAGGTGGAGACGTAAAATAACCACTCTTAAAAACAAATCAATCCAGTATGTGCTGTGCTATTTATTGTTGCAACACTGTTATCATTGCCGCTATAAAATGAAGGCATTTACAACATTCTTGTTATTTACTTTAGTTTGACGTCATATGCATATGTCTATATTACAAATAAATCAATGCAACTGATGTAATTCAATCAATGTAACTGATGCGTGTTTCGCTTTAAAATTCTCAAATTTATATATATGTACTCACATATTAAAATCGTACATTAATATAAATAAATATGCTTTGTCTGTAAATTTTAGTAATGTATGTCGTATATCAAATTGATAGCATTCTGTAAAAAGCAGTCCTTATCATTCACGCTGTTCTTTATGAGTCAGCGAAGTTTGTTTTCTCTTTATCACTGCATATTTATTTTATCTTCTAATTACATATTCTCTAATTTCTAACTATTATTATAATTGCTAACTAATTGCCAACTAAATAATTAATTACTAATTATTTCGTTAATTATATTCTCGTCATCTACGATGCGCGTAATATTGCGATATACGAAATAAGAGAGATTAGGCTTGGCGGTGCGAGCGAATTGAGGAAGGAATCTGGAAGAAGTGTCGATAGTAATGCAATTAGCGCCGAAGCGAAACGCGACAGCGATCCGGAATAAAAACGGACCGCGAAGAATCCACTCGTGGAATGCCTTTCTTGTATGCGCTAATCAAGCGCCGCTCTGCTTCCCTTTAAGACTCCCGATAATTTCCCCTTTTTTTTCCTTTCCGCTTCTTCGGGGACTCGAGGCGGAATCTCCCCGCCGATTGGAGTTCGGGGAGATCGTCCCCAAAGGGCGGCGCGCGGGGCAATCGGTACGGGGTACGGGGAGAAACCGAGAGGAACATCTTCTATTTCCGAGGCTTACGTACAAAGTACGTTTTGCGCATGCATGCATGGTGGCACGGAGGAGGAACAACCGACTGGAAAATTGTTGTCGCTTCGTGGCGCATTCTAGCACGGGGGTCCCTCCCGCCCCGGTTAGAAGGAACTTCGAATCGAGTTGAGGACCACTGGAAATTGGTGGCGGTATCTCAAGCTTGCGAACGACCATTTCGTTAACCTACTTATTCCTGCACCTCCCCGTTCCAGTCGCGTTACTCGTGAAGCCACGCCGGAGTACCTAGTTTGTCCGCAGTTTCCGCATCCGAAAACTACGCGCGGTAAGGGAGGAGCGTAATTCGCGGTTCTACGTGGTGGCTCTTCATTGATTACGTTTTAATGGATCTCATCGGGGAGGGGCCGATCGGCGCGGCGCGATTTGCGCGCTCTCGACAATCTTCTGTTTCCGATGTGTAAGCGAAGTAATCGGCTACTTCGAATACTCGAGCACATGAAGCACCTCGCCGCGCCGAGTACCGTCACGCTGTCCCAGTTCTGTCACAAACGAAGACAGGACGCGAAGGGATTATATTTGTGGACTAGACAGAAGCATATGCAATTTTTATATGTAAAAATTGTGGCCGCGGAACGAGATCACAAGCGTAACATTACAGCATTTTTAGTTATTTAAGATAGAAAAATACGTTGTTTTTAAAATTCATTTATTGAGATTAATAATTCCATTTTGTAAGTACAGTTGTTTGAAAATTAAAAAATTTGGCTTAAAAAACTATAACTAACAACGCTATTTTGTAAGAAAATTTGTTGATTCTTCAGATTAGATTGTTGTACAAACATAAATCATGAAAACCAAGAAGATGTGCAAGAGGTGCAGTTATCACTATTTCCATGTAAAAAATAAAAATTAATTTTTTTTTATTAAACGTAACGTTTTTTTAATATAATCACATATATAGAATTCAAATAAATTTACATAGTTTCACAGTTGTCTTTAAATAAATTCCAAATACTGTCGTGTTTTTTAATCAGAAAAAGTAATTTGCTCTCTTAAAACGTCTTGTGCGGGTAAATAAGGTGATGTCACAAGTGCAAACGGTAGCCAGGTGCTTAGTGATTGCGATATTATTAAAACGATGATAAGCGTGTTTAACATACACTCTGCGTGCGTATTACAATACACACACATATATAGGTATGTGTTGCATATATGATATGTATCTCTCTGTCTCAGAGCAGTTATAATTTTCTCTAAGCTTTATGCTTGATATCCAGCCGCGTGAAATAATGGTAGACCTACTTCTTTAACATCGATTACAGAAAAACATGCCTTAATGCAATCGCGCTTGCAGACGATATTGTGCCGTACCTACTTATCATTCATGTCAAGACTGACACTTTTATTTATGGAAACGCCATGCCCGCGAATCTAGCTGTATGATTTAGAAAGGAAAGTTTGAGAGACACTTTGAACTTTTCCTAGTACCTAGTCGTATTCTAAATATGATACATGAGTCCGCATTAACATTATACTGCGACTATTCTGATGAAGAAACGAGGTCTAAGGTGCTATATCTGAACACTTCGATGTAAAATCGGATTGTCCTGGGAATCGCGGCACATGCGACAGCGCATAAGAGAAATAGTATTATTTCCGTTGTACTGACATAAAAATAGGAATGCTTATAAACGAGAATGCTATATTTGTTCTTTGACGTACATACGAAATACGCACGTATACTCGTTGACCGACGACTCTAGACTCCAGCTATATCGTTGCGGGCCTTTTTGTCGCGGCGTCGATCGACACTGACTCATCGTCGTCGTGAGCAATAATTTCAAATATTTACGCAAGATAGAGATCGCGTGTTATTTCTCGTCTTTTTTTTATATTAATCAAAATTTTACTTTGATTCACAAATGTATAAAATGCAGTTACGTTGCAAAATTCGATTTAGATGGGCGTTGAAATGGTTCAAAGCTCTATCTAGCGTTTTATTGAAATATATAAAATATATATGAATTCTCTCTTTTGTTTATTCTCAACTAAAATTTTACACAAAAATTCGAAACAATGCAGATCACTGGTGGTGAACCATATTCGACCCAAACTAGGTCATGTATCCGATAAGCGAACGTATCTCTAAAAAAAGTTGCGCGAACCATGCAACTCTCTCTCTCTCTCTCTCTCTCTCTCTTCTCTCTCTCTTCTCTCTATCTATCTATCTCTGTTTTTTTCTCCCTCGCCACGAAATTACGTTTTATTTTCCTGTCTGAGCGCGGACCGTGATAAGGAGAGCCTCGTGCCTCGTAAAACACGTATGCATACATAAAAAGCGCCCTGACCGCACCTGGCAGCCGTAATGTAAGGGCGTAAGGACCGCGGCCAGCAACCCATAAACCTGTCGCGCTCGCGTTCGGTTATTGCTTATAAAGTTGCGAGACTGACGAGCACGCGGACATGTGCGAAAACCG